TACCAGAAAACCAGAGCAATGCAAGTTACGGTAATGGAAAACATCTGAAGTTGTATTTTGTGGAAACCATCACCACTCAGTAGCGTCTCACACCAGTGCAGCAATGCCAGCAGCTGCCAGTTAGGGCTTAGTTAGTAGCTTGCTGTAGTTTCCAGGATGGAGCATAAAGTTACCGACACAATCATCACGGGCCAGGCCAGCAGTTGTTCTAGTGTTTCTCTCCTATTTCACATGCTTGCTTGAAAGACCATTTCCCAAGTCCCCCACTGTAATAATTTGCTTTATACAGACACAAAACTTGATTTTACTAGGAATGACACATGGCTTTAAAAAAATCATGCAAACTAAAGGGAAGGAGGCCCAGCCAAACTCTAATCAATCAAAGCTCACATGCCGTGGGTCCATTCAAAACATCATTTTACTTGATTCTCATTAATGTTATTACCAAAGATGTAAATATCTTTGAACAGCTCGCTTCCAAACATTAGAAAGACCAAATTTCTGCATAAACAAAAAGCGTGCAAATGTCATATATATGCTTGATCCACACGGACAACTTCCTGGGACCTGGGAGGGAAGGATGGAAAAATGGGAGTGAAAAGAAGACATCAGCAATGATCACCCTCATGAAGAGTTACACCATGCTCACGTGGGATGTATACTGAGCAGCTGATGTGCTGCATGTTCATTCCCTACTTTATCCCAAGGTGGGCTGCTTTTCTACCCACTCCCTGGGTGGGCTGCATGCTGACAAATTCATTACCATGAGTCTCTCGTCAGCCATGACCTTGCAACAATGCACAGAAAAACATACTTGGAACACACACAAAAAAAAAAAAGAAAAACCGCAGAATCAAGAAGCTATTTCTATGAGGGTTTCAGGAGCAGTAAAATGACTGACAAAGAAGGAAGAAAATGAAGGGCGGGGAAGGTGACAAAAGTACACTGAAGAAAGTTGCAGGTAGAAAAACAGAGCTGTCAGGTAAAACATTTCAAGACCATCATATTTCACCAAATTCTTACAAAATGAGAGGGGCAAATCAAGAAACATCTGAAGGAAGGTGGCTAAAGCTACCACCAAGACTGAACAAAAAAAGTAACTAAAGTACACACAATTGTCAAATACATTTGCTTTAGTTAGGAGGGTGTATACCACACAGACTATGTTACTATAATTTCGCTTCAGTATTTCCTTGTTTCTTGGTGGTAAATGCTGCCATAAAACTGAGATAAGCAACATTTACAGACTTCACCACAAGACTTGAAATGTTTGTAGCATATCAAAATAGGGTCTCAAGAATATACATTTAGAACAAATACCTAAATGCCAATACCTCTCAGTTCATCTCAACATAATGAATAAACAACCAATACCAAGCACAATTCAATTAATTGTGCAGAAGACAGAAGTTTTGGCAATTGCAATCCTACATTCATGCTTACTGAGTTTATTCTGGTTATGTTAATTCACTGTTTAGAACTAACCAACTGTCCCCAGAGTAAACATAACATTAATACAAAGTCTAAAGAAATGAATACGTCCAACTGGACATATCACAAGCATCACTAAGATTTATTGAAGACCACAGATATCAGCAACAGCAGATCCCTCATTACTGGTAATAATGACTAAAAATAAAATAATCCCATTTCAATTATTTTGGTCTGGATCAACTTTTTTGGTCCAGCTGGTATTTAGCAGAACATCCTCCAACTTGGGAATAAACAAATTTTGCACGGAAAAAGTTGAGAAATAAGGAGGGTCTATGATGTAATTCTCATGGTGGAGCTAACACCCAAGTGTTGGGACATTTCCTCCAGTCCCAGAAACCTACCAGAGACTGGTAACTGAAGCTTGAGATGGAGGTGTTAAATAATTAGCTGCCTTTTTAGCATTCTGTGTTGATTCAGAAGTAATCAATTAATTCATACAAGGGTAAGTTGCGTGATGGTATGTGTCATTTTATGACTACATATATTATGCATTGATGGACAGATATTAAGCTTTTTCTACCATATAACTAATTGTTTCCTACAATAACTACTTTACATCCACCAGAACACTGTTAACTTCAGAGTAATTTTTAACAATAATTTGTTCTTACTTACTCTAGGCTTCCATCTTTCAGTTTTGCATTACAACATGGGTCTTAAAGAAACAACTGTTCTCCTTGTTCCCTCAATTAATATAAAATGCCACATGAACCAGTGAGGATAGCAACTCAATAACGTAAGCTTGCATATGTCAGCTGCAGTAACTTCTACTTTCTGCACTAGGGGTTAACTAGCCACAGTTTGCAATCTCTCATTATGTGAGTACCACTGCAGAACCTGGAAGCCCCACAGTACAGCTGCATGTGGTGACTTGAGCCACTTCAACAGTTTATTGATAATAAAAAGATGGAGATCTACTACCTCAGCCTGCCTTTTGTTCCTGGTTGAACAGTAAAGAACAAATTGTTTTACTCTCAGAGCAGCTTCCTCCCCACTGAGGACTCTGGTGAGAGCCATACCTCTGCTCCACACCCTGACCACAATCCCACCCCAAACCTCTCCCAACACACCTTCGTGCCTTTGGATTTCTGACCCATGTATGGCACTCAGTAGGGCTCAACAAGTCCCTTCCCAAGGAGCCACCCAGCTGAAGTCCAGCCTTATAAGAGTATATGTAACCACAGATATTGCATGCATTGATTTCTTCCACTACCTATAAGGATATTCCTAACATCGCGTACGTTATATACCATGAGATGTGTGCAGCTGTATTTGTAGCAATGCTGAGGCACTAAACCCATGCTATTGCTTATGAGGTTGCAATGAGTCTATAACATGCTAGTGTTAAAGTGTTATTGCTACCCCTGCAGTAACATTAGCCTATTATACTGTAACACTAACTGACACTAAAAATTTCAACTGGAGAACACAAAACAGACTGACTTTACCACACAGAGGCAACAACAAATACTCCCATTGAAATGACATTCCATGCACTGCCTAATGGCTTACTGAAAACTTTCTCCAGGAAACATATGAGATCTTAATTTGTTCAAATTATTAGTAATAAAAGATGAGCTTTTCAGATAAACAGCATTGGAAAACAGTGCATTTTCTGTGCTTTGTAAACTGTACTTTATTTGAACTTAATTTCAAGGAGCTGAAACTAAACTAAAGCAGGAAATTAGCCCTCAGCAAAGCAGCCAGAATCGTCCTCAGCATCCAGAGCTGAAACTGAAGGGGAGGGGGAAGAGGTCCTCCTTGCCAAAGAACATAATTCTGCTGTCTCATTACTGTTTTGCTAAAATAATTTAATTAGCAGTCTTCAGATGCAGGAAGGCATTTATGCTTCATCAGGAAAAGAAAGGGTGTGGGGGGGTGAATGGTACAGGCTGTTCCAGCATACCAGGAACACAGCACTGAATTCTTCCAGCTATCGGGCCAAAGCCGGATTGGCTTACCAGAACTAAGTACTTTTTTGATCCAAAGGTTTAAAACATAAAAAAGCACCAGGCAGTCCAATATCTGCACAATATTAACTCCAAATAAAAAGAGATGGCTCAGCCGTGGAGCAGAGCCGAGCTACACCATGTGAATGGGATATTGTGCTTCCCCTCCACATGTACTGTCAGAGCCCTAAAGCCACCCCTGGTCCCCACCTTTCCTTATGCTCTGCTCGTGTGGGCACAGACACTTATCAGTAGGGAGTTCCATAACTCAGGCTTTTATACATAGCTATTTAGGCTGCTTCCTTCAATCAGCACACAGCACATTCAATTAATGTGATAAAATACTCATCTAGGCTAATTAATAAATATTTCTTCAGAATCAAACCATATTTTAATTTCACCAGCATAATCCACAGGTAACTAAGATTAGCCATGCCTAAATGAACTGGCAGGCTCTGAATCGCTAGTTGAGATTAGCTAAAAATATTGCCATGATGCATAAACCCAAATAGAAACCTGCTCCCTCTCCCAGTGCAGTATCAATTCTGCAGTCCCAACAGGTGTAAAAAATAATTTATCTTTGTCACTAAACTGCAAGAATATGCAGGAGGGGGAGGCAAGCTGCTGACAGAGAAGTTGTCATTTATACATAAACACTTCCACAGCACAAATCACAGTTTAAAGGTGCTAGGGTCAAGAGCCATGAGGAGCCAGTTTTGTTCACCCACAAATTTCCAATGCTCCCATCAATTTTATGATGCAAATTCTGTTCCTATATGATACACATAAAGTGTTTCAGTTGTCTGAAGAATGTTTTGAAACTCTGCCCACATGGAAAGAAAATTCTTCACTGAGAACAGTTTTAAAAGTAGGAAACCAGTTAGACAGCACCTGGGTACAAAGATCACATTTGTTTTGACTTAGTTCCTTAAATCCTTTGAATATCAGTTAAGGGCACGTACTCCATAAACGTTCCTGTGAATATCAGTTAAGAGCACATACTCCATTAAAAAAAAATCATGAGAAAGTGGGATGTTCACCCAGGCACTGATGAGTCGCTATTTGTAAATTCTGTCATTTAAGTGCCTTTTTATTGCAAATAGTGGGATTTGCGAGAACAGACACCAGAAGATTCTCTAACTGTTAAGGGCTGAATAAACAATGGGAGCATGAGCGTTTTTTCTCCGCTGCCTCCCATGTGAACTGCACAGGCTCAGCCCCACGCAGAAAACAGCCCGTTTCCTGCCAGCCTCCCATTGCTGTTCTCTGAGGGTGCGCAGGGAGGGGAAATCAAGGGTGCTTGCTGTTTGCTTCATTGCACAAATAAGAATGTGGATAAAACAGCCATCTCTGATGAAAACGTACAGTTTCCTTGGAGCCTTCAAACTATGCAGAAGACGTATTTTACCAGCTTTGTCCCCACCGGCAAACAGCCCTCTGTGCCATGGGGCAAGTTGAGCCCAGCACCCGTAATTCATGGCTCTGCAGTCTGAAGGCTGCAGGCAGAGCACAGCATAACAGACAACTGCACACAAGCAGAGAGGTAAATGCACTCACCCGAGAGATGGACAGGGGCATGTTGAAATCCTTGCCACCTTGGAGCCTGAAGCCCCAAGGAGCCGGGCCGACAAGAGACACGGTGTAGTTGCTCATGGTGTTCAGTGTTCAAGGATCCAAGCCAAAGAATCGATGCCTGTGGAAGAGGCATTATGCTTTTAATTTAAAGAAAATAAAAATAAAAGGCACTGTCTACCATTTTAACATCTTTATTTCCATACAATAAGAACAGCCAAAAATCCATACCAGGTCTGTCATTACTTATACTTTTATTCCTCATACACTGTTGTCCTCAATAGCTTAGGAAGAAGCATAAGGAGCTGTTAACACGGGTTTAGGTCTTAAGATCTCTGGTGCTAAAGAACTTGGATCTCAAGAGAGGCACATAAACATTTGACAAGTATTTCTTACTAACAGAATATTGAGGGGAGGGGGGGCAAACCTCAATGTTGGGACAAGCATGAATTGATAATATCCATTAAATCCAAGTACAGAAGAAACTCCCAGCACCGACACATTCATTTCTAACAAAATAAGTACCACATGCTGAAATGTCATCAGCTCAGAACTTGTTTCTAAACACATTATGGTCTGACAGCTTTAAAACGATGTCAAAATGTCACAACTTTGAGGTTAATCAGAAGAAAATAAAAACCCTGACTTTGTTTTTGCAGCGTAACTTTATATTGGTGTAACAATGCTACAGATGAAACACATGTTAACAACAAGACTCACATTTAGCAAAGTTAAAATACTCACAGCTGCATCTTAATGCTGGGGAAGAAAAAAAAAAAAAAAAAAAAAAAACAAAGCGAAGCCCAAGTATCTCCCTCCCCTCCGCACAAATGCCGGCAACAAATTACCTTTAAAAGGCAACCTCTGCACTTAATTGCCGCTCAGAGTCAGAGATAAGGGCTTCAGTTTCACCTCAGATAAGTAACATTACAATGACATCTTAGGTAGTGGATCCCATCTATTTTTGTATGGTTGAAGCGAGGCAAAGTACACACCAGTGTGCGCGGGTGTAAGCCTACACTGTAGCACAGCCGGATTCCAGGCTCGTGCATTGACATTTAAGGTGGCACCCCAGTCAAACTGGAGAAAGCAGGCTGCAGACCCACTAAGCTGAGTGTGACCTCTTCACACACAGGTGGGAGATTTTATTTTATTTTTTTCTTTTTGAGGCAGTAGATTTTGAAAATGCAGCCCAGCCTCGCCGGCTGCCCAAGGTGCCACCGCAGCCATGTAGGTGCACGGAAGGACATTTAAAGTCACTCCCCAAGAGGTGTCGGTAGCACATGTTTCTGGGTTCACCTCACAGAACCACAGAGACCTGCTGCTCTAAATCATAATTTCTCAGTCTGACAGCAGAACTTGCAGCCATGCTCACGCTGACGGCCATTCAAATAAGCCAAGCACAGCTGCTGGCCTGAGGTGGGACAAGGAGATAGCTCTGAGGATGCAGAAGCTGAGCTACCTGGGCAGCTCTGGCCCCATGAGCTGTCTCAGCACACCCTGAAATGCCTCAGCAGGCACTGGTGTATGTAGAGAGGAGCGCACACCCTGACCCTTCCTGCAGCTGGAGAGGAGGAAGGAAAGAGAAAGCCTCCACTGAGTGCGAGCTGGGTCTCTCCCTCAGCACGGAAGCAAGAGCTACAACTCTACCTCCTCCTGAAAAGAGGATTTCAATTAGTCACAGGCTTCTTTCTGTAGGAAAGTAGCAACGCCTTTCGTTCCCTCTGAATGAGGTCCACCCTGGTGACAGGTCACCACAAACCACAGCCACATCTAGCGAGTGGCACACATGCCAGAAGCAGAAGGCTTTACCTAGCAGCCCAAATTGGGGGAAGAAAAAATTGCACAAGCCTTCAAAGTGTAACAGCTAGTTACAGTAACACCATTAGGAAAAGGTTAAGTTACATTAGGAAAGGACACAGGGTTTTTTCCTCCCTGTTCAAAGCAAACAGAGTTGGGAAGAGACTGCTGGCTGAAACGCTGAGCACGGCTCTCAGCATCCCTCACCTTTCCTTTCTCACCCCCTCGATTCTGCCGTGCCCGCACCTCCAGCCTTACAAACTGAGCAGGAAGACCCCGAAGGACCCCCCCAAATTTAATGCCACGCACTTCTTACAGCACGCCAGGGCAGCACCTACGAGAAAGCGCTACAACCCACCAACCCCGCCTTGCACAACCGAGCAGCCAAGGGCGAAATTGTGCAACTTGCGCCTATTTTATCAAACTCTCGCTGGCTCGGGCCACAGCAGGGGGGGAAACTTCAAAACGCAGAGCCGGCACGGACCCCAAGCCCCAGCTATCGCTCCGAGGCTCCCCCCAGCAGCTCCTGAGCCCCGTGCCGAGCCGTGCCAAGCCGAGCCGAGCCAGGCAGCCCGTCCCCGGGGCAAGCGACCCAGCAGCACTCCGTATCCGCATAGACACGGGGGGCACCCCCCAGCCCCACTCGGGACCACGGTAACATTACAGCCCACGGTGAAATTAAGCTACGAGAAGCCCCGCGGAGTTTCAAACCCACCGCCCAACCTGCCGGCTCTCCGCTCCTCCTCCTCCTCTTCCTCGCCCCTTCGCCTCTCGCTCACCACCCGGTGCCTGCAGGGCGCGGAGCGGCGAGGACACCCGCGGCGTCTGCCGGGCGGCGGCTCCGTCCCCCCGCTCTTGTTTGCACTTCCGTCTGCTGCTGCTCCTCCCCCGGCACGGCAAGGCTCGGTTTGGCTCAGCACGGCTTGGCTCAGCTGGGCTCAGCACGGCAGGGACGGGGGCAGGGGCGGGGCGCGCCCGGAGAGGGGCGCGGAGCTGGAAATCCTCAAATGCACCGCTGCCAGGCGGCCTTGGAGTTCATTATTATTATTAATTATAAATAATAAACATTTTTGAAGAGGGAAATGCACTTTTTCTGTTTGTTTTCTTTATTTTTTTTTCTTATTTTGCTTTGCGCACATCTAACTACAGGCACACCTGTGAAACGCAAGGGCTAACGAAAGGGTGCTGGGTCTCTGCACACTGCCGCCCCCAAAAGTGTCCCCCCCCAGCACACAACAGGCACCGTATGAGTAGACTGCCACAGCTGTCTTACAGGGAAATTTCTCCAAAAAGGGCAAAACTTCGCTTTATTTTCAACAGAGTAATATAACAGGGATCTAAGCGCCTCCCAAAGTACATCAAAGCTGAGAACAGCAGTGAGGCAGGAGAAGTGCTTAACCAAAAGACAATGCTGGCACGAGAACACATGGGTATAAAGTGACCACGAATAAATTCACTTATGAATCAATAAGGAGGAAAGGGAGGTTTCTGTAGGAGTGGGTGCGAGGAATCAAACTGGTTTTAAGATGAAGCTTGATCAGATTATGAAAAGAGTTTCGCCATGGGCTTGCCTGCCAGCAGAACAGTTATTTATCACAAAGACTTTCAGACTGACAACCCACAGCCTCGTTTGGTCAGAGGCAGGCCAAGCAGCATGCTGCAGTGCTTTACTGACCTGCTGGCTGATGCCTTGCAGTCGGTAGAAGCAGGGTGAAGATGCAGCAGCGATAACACTGCAGGCTCAGCTGTGTCTCACAGCTGAGGGAGGCTTGAGGTTCCCTCCCTTCTCTGTTTCCCATTCATTAAAAGTGATTACAAATGAAAGTGGTTGGGAAAGAGACAGGCATCTCATTAGCAGCAGCAGCACCATAACTGCAATAATTTCAATCTGCTCTTCAAGCATAGATTTGCTGTGGAGAAAGAGTGCAGAAGAAAGGTTTAAATCTGAGTTTATCACAGCCAATGCAACACAATTCTTTACCATGATCCTGCCCAGCCTATCTGTCCTTGTTTAAGAAAAGGGTGGCACTGTTCCTCATCCTCCCAGTCTTAGTTTTGTGAGCTTTAATAAAGGGGTTTTAATGTTGTTCCGGGGAGCTGTGCACCTCCTCAGCTGTCCTGACTGAGCCAAGTGCCTCCCCCTCACACCACATCTCAACAATAAAAGCATCCAAGACCCAGACTAATACACCAGGACAACTCTTCTGGAAATCTGTCCTCCTTACCCTGCTCTGTTCACATTAAAAATGTCTTTAATCAGGCAAAACTGAAAATCCCCATTACACACACACTCTCTCACATGACTTTAATTCATGGAGGTAAAAATTCCCCATCCCAGGGATTTTTCATTGTGTCACAAGGACCTTAGGTCACCCTCATGCTGTTTCATTTATTAGAGGAGAAAGAGCTCCAGGACCCTGCTCCCCAGTGTGACCCACGTGGTGCCTCCAAGGTCAGCATGTCCCTGTGCCAGCCGGCTGGGCAGCAAGCTGCTCACAGCTCACCGGAGCACATAGCCGAAAGTTTTGCACTTATCCTGGGCTACCAGCTAGCCACATCAACAAAAACTATCCTTTTCCACTTCATTTCTCCAAAAGCCTGTGGTTTTTATTTGTAGATGAATCACTTGCCTGAGCTAGGTGGGGACAGGCTATCTCAGGACTAGCTCAGCAGGACTGAGGAGGAACTCACAGGGAGGCTTTGGCTGGTGGGCATCCTTAGTGCCACCGTGTCCACCTTGTGTTGTGCCCATCCATCACATCCTGGCCACCATCGCATCCTGGCCAGCATTGCTCCCAGCTGAGGGTCTTTGGGGTTATCACCACTTCTCCACAGCCTGATCCGCTTGTGACAAATGAGCCTGTTTTCCCTCACATCCTCCAGAGGCTGTTTGAGACCCCATCATTCTTGGTCTGCTTTCAAATGTTCTCCTCTTTGAGAAAGCTTTTCGTTAGGGCTGAATGGTGAAAAGGAGAGATAGCGAGTGGAAGACAAACCTCAGCAGCAGTCAGAACCATGGCCTGCCTGTTCTTCCTACTGCCGCCGTGTTTCAGACAGAGCTTGCATTTTTTCCCCCCTGAATGAGGAAGGAAGAAGTCTGGAAATTAATTAAATGCAGTAGTCAGCTAGCCACGCAGATGCAGCCTATCTCAAAATTACTCAGGCACTTAAGTCTTGTTTAAATGCTAATGAAATGCCTTAGGTGCTGGGTAATGGGTACTGCAGAACCTGCTGGAGAACATCACCTGCGGTCCTGAAGTACACAAAGGAACTCATAAATGCAAAAAGAGACCATAAATTATGAACAGATTAACAATGCACTGTGAAATAATTCCCAATTAAACTGCAGTTAATCTAACACTTGCTTTCTGTGTGCTGAGACAGAGAACTGCAGGCTGTGCTTGTGCTGCACTACTACTTTCACTTTTGCTTTTCTTCCAGAGGTAACGTTATTGCAAGTTGTAGTCAGTGTGCAGCTGGATCCAGCGTGAAGTAACCCTCTCTTTAGGGTTCATTCACTCTAAATGTGAATTAAGAATGTGAATATCATCCCTGGCCTAACAGCTTATTCCAAGATAACTCTCTGCCCAGCAATGAAATGCATTAGGCATGTTCTAAGTGTTTCTGAGAAGCTGAGGCTGCAGTCAGCTTTTTGACAGGGTGAGCTTTTATCCTACAGTCGTGGTGAATCCTAAACCGCCTCAAACTGGTGTCACAGGAACACTTTTACTTTTCTGTCTTATTTTTTTATTTTCTTTTTCCTGTCCCTGGTTTGCAGAGATACCCAGCACTGAATTACTCTCCCATGCATCCTGTCAATCACCCTAACTCCCTGAAGACTTGTTTCCTTGTGCAGGAGCAGACACTGAGCAGCTGAGCCCACACAATTCACTTTGTGTCAGCTTTGTTAGTCAAAAACAAAACAAAAAACAAACACAGTCAAGTTTACCTTATCTCTCCTCTCACTTCTCACCTTTTTTTTTTTTTATTTGTTCCTTCCCTGTTTTTCCTCTGGGTGTGCCATCCACCCTGACTTGTCCTCAGCTCATTTTTCAACCAGCTGCATACTCTGACCTTACTGCTTCAATTTCTATAACAGTTTCACTCATAATGCTTCTGCTCAGTCCAATTTTAAGCCTGTGGCTTTCATTATATTGAAATATTAACAACAATAGTCTTCCCACTTCAAACAGACAGCCATTCAAGCTCTTACTGCTATAAGCAGATTTATGGTCTTTTTCTTTTGCATCCTGATTTCTTTTTTATTTTAGCTTATCAATCCTTTTTGTTTTTAATAGCACTTCTCTTTTTAAAGAAAAAGTAATAGCTACTAATAAAATAGCCCTTATTCACTGCGTCCCCCTGAAATGTGGTAAATCATACAAACAAAGGAAATAAGTATGTCATTACCTGGCTCCTTTGCAGTGACTGAGCAGGCACATCCAAAGTTTGGACATTCACCCCAAAACTGGAAGCTACTCAAACCTATTTTATTACTCCATCCCTGGGATAGGAAGGGCCACCTACATGCAGGCCGCAGTCTGTGCTACAAGTTAAATATTTCTCCCCTGCTAGCCCGGATGAATGCAACTCCAACCCAATCTCTTTGTTTTGGGTAACATGAAGAGCCCTTTGAGGAAGTCCAGGTTACACCCTTGTCATGTTAAACCTGGGCTGTTTTAGGGGCTAAAATCTGCTTCATCCTCAGCCCTGTGTGGTGGTTTTACTCAGGTGGGCAGCCAAGTTCCACCACAACCGCTCTTTCACTCCCCTTCCTCAAAGGAAAATTACAATGAAAGGAGAAATATACGATGCAAAGGGCTCAAGAGTTGAGATAAAGACAGAGATCTCTCAACAATTATTGTGATGGGCAAAACAGAGTCAGAGTAGGAAGACAGTAAGATTTATTCCTTTACTAACAAACTAGAGAAGTGAGAAACAAAGGAGAAAAAACAAAAACACCTTCCTCCCACCCACCCTCTTGCACCTCCTCCCCCTGAGTGGCCCAGGGAATAGGGGCTGTGGTCAGTTCATGATGCTTCGTCTCCACTGCTCCTTCACACTCACCTTTTGCCTCCGCTGCACGTGGGGTCCCTCCCATGGGATGCCATCCTTCCTGAACTGGTCCTGCATGACTTCTCACAGGCAGCAGCTCTTCAAGAAATGCTCCAGATGTGGGTCCGTACCACGGGGTTCATCCATCCCCCATGAGCAAACTGCTCCAGCACAGGTCCCCCACAGGCGGCAGCTCCCCCCAGACCCCTGCTCCTGCGTGGGCTCCTCTCCACGGGCTGCAGCTCCGGCCCGGGGCCTGCTCCTGCGGGGGCTCTCCACAGGCCTCAGCCTCCATCAATGCAGGTCTACCTGCTCCACCATGGTCTCCTCCACGGGCCTGCAGCATGGAGATCTGACCTGCCATGGTACTCCATGGGCTTACAGGGGGACAGCCTGCTTCACCATGGTCCTCATCACAGGCTGCAGGGGACTTCTGCTCTGGTGCCTGCAGCACCTCTCCCCCTCCTTCTTCACTGACTTTGGAACCTGCAAGGCTGTTTCTCACTTCTCTCTCTTTCTCCCAGCTGCTGTGTAGCAGCCTTCCCCCCCGCCCCCTTTCTTAAATCTGCTCTCACAGAGGTGCAAACATCATCACTTACTGGCTTGGCTCTGGTCAGCAGCAGGACCCTTATCTAACACAGGGCAGCTTCTAGATTCTTCTCACAGAAGCCACCCCTATGGCCCCCTGCTGCCAAAACCTTGCCACATAAACCCACTACATTCCACCCCTCACCTCTGTGAAAAGCATATTTAAGAATAACCACAGTATTCTCTTACTTTACAATCATCGCACTCTTCACAAACTTCTCTTACATCAAGAAGAAAAAGAATTCCCCACACCAAAATAAGCATAACATCATCACAACACCAGTGAGGTGGACACACACCACCCCTGGGCCCTGTGAAGCACTTGCCACCAGGTACAGCTGGTGTCCACAGGCAGTAAACATTTATATGTGCAAGGAATCAACTCTCAGAGGAAGAAATGAAACCAGTTCTTCCAAATTCCTGTGCAGCTCTCGACTACCAGATTACCCTACCCCAGACTGTCATACCCCTTGCTGTTCCTTAAACCACACAAATGCATGGAAAAAACCCTCAGACTTCATGTTTCCCATTTTTGAGACAGCCTAGCACGATACAGGAGCAGCTACTTCAATCATCTACCCGCTTCACTCTTTAAAATTTCCTTTTCCTTAATGGCAGGGAAGAGTTTCTGCAGGAATCCATGGCTTGGTGTGGTTTAATAGCAGTCCATCAGCTGCTCAGGAAGGGCTTGCTGAGTGATGTCTCAAAGCAAGGCTTGACATCCGCCACGATCACCAATTATGTAGGGCTTGGCAGGTAAACATCCAACCCTTCAGAGTGATCCATGCAGTTATTTATATTAATTAATGCCATGGGAGAAGAGGTGCAGCTCAGCCTCTAATCTTTTATGTAAGGTATTGCAAGGGAGGGGATGGGTGCAAGCTGGAGCATGATGAGCGCTTTGCCTGGCAGCTGGGGAGCAGCCTGGCACAACTCAACCCTGACACCATTTCTCCTGTATTCCCACCAGCACCACCAATTCAGTCATCAACAGCCACAGGCAGCCTTTTCCCAAGATCCATTTGCAGTTTGGCCAGAGGTGGTCTGAAAATGCCCTTTGGGGCTGTCATTGTAAGTCAGTCAAAGCACTGCAGCTGATTCTATGTGGCCTTTTTCTGTTGTTTGTTTGTTTTTTATACTGTTAGAAATATCAATGTAGTCCAAACTGGTGAAATTAAAATGTATCAACAGGTCCAACAATGCATTTACAAAGGTACAGAAAATAACTAAATAAACAAACATAGCTTGCCTATTGCACTGACTGATCTAACCATTATAACCATTTAGGTAAACACATTAAAAACAAAACAAACAAACAAACAAAAAAACAGCATTTAGAGAAGCCTCTCTAGGCCTTTGCTACCACCTCTAAACTTATATTTCTCTGGGGAAAAATAAATAAATAAAGTAAAATAAACTATCCATGAGAGCAGTGAGACCTGAAAACATGTCAAGGAACTCTTATTTTTAGCCACTGGCAACAAGAAATATTAAAGCAAGTAATAGCTATTCCCACAGTAAATAAAAGACATCTAATCTTTACTGACAAAGGGAAACGGAGAGAAAAAGAAACAGAGACATTCATATTTATACATTTGAAGAATTTGTACCAAATTTACACTCACCAGCACCATATTTATGTGTGAATTATGTTAAAGTGATTTATATCCCTCTTGCTGCTTGTGAAAACTCCTGTTCCTTGTCAGTTCTGCAAGGTTAGCTGCCGCATAGATCTGGGTGTCACAGGCAGAAGAATGAAGCCTGGACTGTGCCAATATTTTGGGCTGAAACGTTGGACATAAGTGAAGAATAACAGAAGGTACCAAAGGCACAACCGAAGGGACATCCTGCATCTCTAGCAACATTGAGACTGTCACCTCCCTACACATTCCTCGTGTAGATGCAGGAATCAGATGAACACAAAGCATCACTGAGCCCCTGCCTCTCCCTCCTAAGGTGCTATAACATTTTCTTCACTACCAAAATTAGATCTTTAAAATGGTGCTTTTTTTTTGTCCCAGCTGTTCATATTGGAAGGCTGTCCTTGCCTCTGTTTTAATGATCAGGAAAGTGCATCTGATTTCCAGCCTAAGTTTAGTCACAGACAAATTTAAATTGTTCTTCTCCCTCTCAATAGTTCCACTGCCTGCGTATTTTTAGATGGAAATCATATCCCTTGTCAACCTTAATTTTCCTAGGCTACGCGAGTTGAGCTTGCCTTGCCTCTGTTTGTAAGGAAAGATCGTGGCTCTCCCGATGATCTCAGTAGCCTTTCTTTACACCTGTTCAGATTTGTATTTTCCCTAAACGTGAGACATCAGAATCATATATAGCATCCTGGGAACACCTTCCCAATGTCATCTTCTGTAACAGAATTAATATCTCCACTGGAAACATTTCGTTCAATGTATTCCAGGATATTTCCTTGTCTGAAAAAAATTATACCAGTGCTTCAGAGGTACCATGAAGTTGCCTGTTTCATTTTATTTCCACTTCTATCTTCAGCTTCTGCTTTTTCAGACTAACAGCAATTATTGATGGCAATCTCCATATGCATTCTTTAGCCATCTATGCTTCTGAAATTAATTTCATTTGGTTTATTTCCTTCCCATAACATTTTTTACGTTTTCCATCCTCCTGATAGTGCCTCCCAACTTTTCACCATCCACAAGTTTCACCAGCAAACTTGTAGTCTTTATGCCTAGTTCACTAAGGAAAACATTAAGAATGATTTCCAGACCTTTCAATTTATCTATACATACCTCTGTATAAGTTTACATATGTGAGTGCATATAAACTCCATCAACTGCTTTCTGCTTGGTCCTTTATTTTGCAGCATTGCCTGCTGTTGTCTTCCTGCATATCTTACGTAAAAATGATGGTCTTCAGCAGTGTCAGAATTGGGGGAAGACATCAGATGCCACACTAAAGCTGGGAGAGGACATGTTTCTTTTGTTTATGCCAGCAGTTGGCAAGAAAGCTATGAGGCTGGTCTGATGAGAGTTGCCTTTGCCAAGCCCAATAAGCTATGCTTCAGAAAATAAATAAAGCAAGCAGAGGTGCTGTGAGCATGGTCTGTAGTGAAGTTCAGAGCAGAGCCACCAGGAGTCAAAACCCACCCAGAGGTCTGCATGAAGAAGGAAACAGTGCTAGTACTAAAAAATGAAGATATTTCACAATGTCTTCCTGGATACCAAACGTGATGCTGTCAGTGTTGGCAAAGCAGCAGAAGTAAAGAACAGCATCAACAGTGGCTTGTCATAAAACAGGATAGGAAACCAAAAAATAGATGGAGAAAAAACAGTGTGGTAGACTTTTTTTTTTTTTTAGTTTTGTTAGAAGAAGGCTTACATAGATTAAGGAACGAGGAAAAGAAATAAAGCTGTTCAGAGGCAAATCTCTCTCTGTGCTTCCCATCAGTGAGGTGATGGCACAATTAAGGATAACTCCAAATTGTGGAGACCTAGGTGACTCTCTAAGAGCACATTTACTATGTTTTTCCCCAGCTATAGAAAAATGTTTTCTGTAGAGGAAGGACAATTCAAACACCTGCAAGTGAAGCAGGACCTGCTGCAGCTGCCTTGTGCAGCCCACAGCATCTGTGCAGCTACAGGTGGGACTTGCAGCCTGCACCATCAATCCAGGGATAACCAGGAGCTGACAGCACTTTGGAGGAGCACGAGGTGTCTGCGGTGCATTAGCCAGGCACCGGCCTGTGCTTGCCTTCTCTTCCTATGAGAACAACTCTCTGAAGCACAGGGATACAACCCCCTCACCCTCTTAGCTCGTGTTTTAGAGGAAACGTGACAGTGACAGAAGGGTGGCATCAATCATCTGTGGCACGGTGTACATGTCAAATGCGTGACCCCGCTTGCACGAGGGTAGCCGCAGTGTCTCTGAGACGTGATATCAACATATATTAGGGACAAGATATCAACGTATATTAGGGACAAGATATCAACGTATATTAGGGACAAGATATCAACGTATATTAGGGACAAGATATCAACGTATATTAGGGACTAATTAAAGCAACAGAAAGGAGGAGGAAGGAAAAAATAAAGTGAAAGCAGAAAGGGGATAAGTGAAAGGTTTTAGCCACCACCCATTGCCTCTAAGCTCTTATCACTCCTAAGAAGATGAAAGCAGGCAGGAAATTTTGATGCTGACAGTAAGGTTTCACCAAATCATGGTGTCGGGTGTAAATGCCAGCCTCCCAAGCACCAGAACTGGGACAACAGCCCTGTCCTCCCCCAGGTGCCCAGGGCCACCATTGGTCAGTGACCCAGACCTTTCACCATCCAGTGGAAACCTTCCCCAGCTCCAGCATTTAAAATTGGCACCAGGCTTTGTCTCGCATTTCGCATCTTCCCCAGCACTGTAGCTCGATACCCCTTGTTAGCCCGCCTGGGATGGTTGCTCTGCATCGCTCTGGAGAACATTTGTCAGCCGGGACTGCTCAAGCACCGGCTTATTTTGTGAAGGAGGAATGTTGGCAGCGCGTTTCTCTTTGCTTGACCTCTGGATGTAGGTGGCCAATTCAAGGACGATGGCCACGGCCTCCTTACCTGTTTCCAGCATGAAATCAGTCGGCAGAGAACGGGAGTGAAGTCAGTCTTTCTGTTTTGATAAGAGGGTGGCCAAAGATCTCTGGAATGAGAGGCACTCCAGCAGCCACCCAGGCGGCTATTTATATACCCGGGGGCAGGGCTGGGGAACAAAGTGGTTCTTCTGCTCCCCTCCGATTTACATGCTTGAAACTGGAAGGGAAGGGGACAGCTTTTATCATTCAGAGGCATTCATGGATGACAGTTTTGTTTTTTTCTTTTCCTTTTTAGCCAGTATATTTATATTTCTTATATAAAAGTATTATATATTACATTCATAAATTTACCATATGTATATTGTGCATTTCATATATCTGATGTTATATACATTTCATATATAAATATATCATATATATGTTCAAATGTTTTGTCTTTCAGAAACCAGAATCACCTGGACAACTTTTTTTTTTCTTCCCCCAAATGCAAAGTGAGTTCCATTTGTAACGGTGATGTACCTACCAAAACCGGTCTGTGTCCTGCACAGCCAGCTGAACAGCAGGCTGCTTCAGTCAGGAGTCAGTTGGCTGAACGACACAGAGTAGACATGGCTAGCAAAGCAGGACAGTGGGGAGACATCCACTGGTTCTGATTTTACACAGTAAAATTCAAATTAACAGTGTTTTGTAGAGTTTAATTCACATGCAGGACTACGTTCGAAGCTGGATTGTGCACATATTTAACTGGCCCTCATTGGAAACAGATCCCAATCAGCCCAAAGCTGCCGATTTGTCAGACTGACCCAACACATAACCTCTGCTCAGCCGTCTCAGTCTTCTCTGCCCCTGAGGAAGGGAGCGGTAGCACTTAACTTCATTCTGAAGTGACCTCTTCCTGTTGACAGAGATAAGCCCTAAGAGTCCCATCCCATTCTCCTGTGCTAAATACAACATAAAAGGGACTTTGGGAGAAGAAGAAGGGCACAAAACCGTAGGGAACACTAAATAAAAGCTTATTTTAGCCATTCTGCATCCTTGAAATAGTCTGTAAGGCTGTTCCAGTTTCTGAGAAGTCAGAAGTCTTGGTAATAAAGACCCTTGGGAAACTGATCCATCAGTTTTACAAGTTTACAGAGCTGCTGGAAAAGGGCCAAGGAGCTGGTCCGTGGAAATGAATGGAATATTTCTGTATTACCTCATATAGCTTGCAACACCGCAGTAGCCGAGGAGCTCCCAAACATGACCGCATTCATTGTTGCAGTATCTGAAAAATCCAAGGAAGCGCAAGCGTAAGAGGCTATAAAAATAGTTTTGCTTCTCTTTTGTGGGCAGCGTTTCCACCTCTCCTAGCAGAGCAGGGAAAAACCTTCTTGGAAAGCTTCCCCTTGTGAGGCACAACACAGACCCCAAACTGGAGCCTGGCCTTCTCCAAGGCAGGCTGCTCCCCTGGTCCTCCCACCCACAGCCCAGCTCTGGCAGGGCACCAGTGATGCCCTCACCTCAGTTCCTGGTTTTCATTAGGCTGACAGGTGAATTAATAGTGGTTTGCTGGGGAAACAGAGGCACAGGCAAGAATCAGCAGGTTGGCCTCTATGGGCTGGTTTCCCTCATCCCACAGGCCGTGGGCACAGGACCAAACATGCTGCAAAGGATGCTCTAGGAGTTTCTCATCATTCCAAAATTTCATATTTTCATCATGACTTATAATGCAGGCTCTCTCATAGATTATTAACATGATGTTATATTCAACATTAGCAGTCACTGGGTATGCATCTACATTTTCAAACAAAAGCATGGCTTCAGCCCAGAGACCTTTTGCAAAACAATTTGCTGCTCCTTCCCCCTCCACCTCTCCTCTCTTCCTTCCCTCTCCACCCATGAAATTTAAATTGAGATTCAGTTCTCTCTGTTTAGCTGACAGGAAGGGCAGAGAAAGAAAACTGATGATAGATTTAAGAAAATAGTATATTGTGCATACAGTACATTACATACCATGAAGTACTTTAAAATGTCATAAGCAAAGTATGCACTAGGAGAAGTATAATCAAATTTATTTCAAGATAGCTTATTCTAAGGGAAAAAAATATATGTATATAAAAAAAAAAAAAAGAGAGAGAGAATCTGATTGCAAGGATTGAAAACAGAGCACATCTTCCACACCTCACCAAAACTTTTGCAAAATGCCTCTAAGCAACTCTATTTCTAAGAGGGCAGCCAGCACGAGGAATGACTTTTTCCTTCTCGCACAAATCAGGACCTGACGGCAGAGAACAATGCGCCCTGTCCTGCAGCCCTAACCAACCCTGCTGCCTCAGGATCTGGACTTGAAAGGGCTCGCAAAGCAAACAAACCAATCTCCAGCCAGCCACGTCCTTATCTGTTTAGTAAGAGAGGAAGAGGTAAAGGATGAGCGATGGCAGGAAATTCGCGTTTCATTCCAGTGACGAGTTCAGACTGCCCTCTCATTCCTGTTATGGCAGATGCAAGCACCCAGGAGGACCACAAAGACCAGGGAGAGCTTGCAGCTCCTTGTATGGAGGAGAGACGCTCTTTTTTGGCAAATAAAGATGTTTCCACTGCTGTTCAGTCATCAGGATCACCAGACAGAGGGTGTGAGTCTTTGTTTTTTGCGTCTGTCTGGCCAGGCTTTTGCATAACTTCCCCCACCCTGCCTCGTTGATCTCCTCCTGACTGTGTGGATAAAGCGTCTGCATGACTTGCATGTTCTAGCTAATGTGATGAGTTATTTTCACGGAAAAAGGCTCTTTCAGGCATGTTTCAGTCTTGTGTAGGTTCACTGTGGATCCAGGGGCTGAGGCATGTCCTTAGTCCACCAGGGACAGCTCTCATTACCAGAGCTACTTTCTGGGGATGAAGCAGCCTTGGGCAAGGTGGGCATGCCAAACGGTGGCTACAAGAATTGTGGGCACCTCTAGGAATCTAGGGATTCAAGTTAGTTGTTGGAGATGATGTTGATAAGGGCTGATTGATAAAAAGAGCAAATGCAGGTGTGGAAAAAAAACAGGGTTTTAAAGCCAAACATATCATTATTGAGAGCCCAGATATAGCGAGGACTGTAAAGAAGCTTTTGATACAAAGGAGGTAGATACAGATGTGAATGAAGGAGAGAACAAAATGGAGCATATTTTCTACAAACAGGTGCTGTAGGACTCAGTCCATAGCCCTTCTAGGTAGGAGAGTATATTTGCTGGACTACAGAAATTAAGCAGATTTTATCTTCCTGCACTTCAGGAAAGTATCAGATTTACCACTGCTTGGGAAGCTATTAAACAAACTGCAGGAAATGAGGATGGCTACAAAAAAGATAGATTAGAAAGCATGTTGGTAAGAAACTCCCAAATGGTAAATTTCAAAGAAACACACGAGTGTGTAACAGCACTGAGAAGAGAGGTATGGGGCTGCAGAAAGTCTTGGTACGGCGTTCCTTGGGGGAAGTTGTGAAACTGAAAGCATTACACGTTCCATTGGCTGTGTTAACACAGAAAATCTGTTTTCTTCTTTTTGATGAAAAATAGCTAAGGGTGGATAGTCTCAGCCAGAAGAGAGAGTGGAATAAATTAAGGCTAGGCTTTGGAAGCATTGCAGGGATCAGAGGACTGAAATCCTGGAGCACACCTCAGAGCAGCTGGGAAAGGGGAACCTCACTGAGTTTTTTGGATGGTATTTGATCTGTTTATTAAAGATACGTGGTATGTGCAGAATAGTAAAGTGGTGAATGAGACTTTGTTATGCCTCTTAGCTTACTGGAGGAGAAATCAGTTGTTTTTTTTTTTTAAGCTCTCTACCTGCTTATCATTAAATCCTCCTCCCACCCCAAACAAATGTTTCTACTTAAGCATGAATTCTGAAACAACTTGAGTTTTCTCCAAATAAAAGAAACATGGCCAATCAAACTTACTAATCTCTCTCTATTCTCAATCTGAAAAAACTTGAACCTGGAAAAAAGTTTGTGCTGTCTGTTTCAGCCCACACCCTTGGTGATCACTGGCCAGACTCTGCATGGATGGATGTGGCTTGAGAACCATAGCATAGTCCCTTTAGCTTTAGGGAGAGTTTTTCCTCTTATAAACATCTTCATTTTTGTCCATCTCATCTCAACACAAAAAGCTGGTGTGTACTGCCAGCTGTGATGCTGATTTGCTCTTTGTGAGCAGAACCAGGACTGCCTCTTTTCACATCACCTTGCAGCTCCCCAGTGGAAAACTGCAATTAGTCCTCAGTGAGGAGGGATTACAAAGTCCAAGACAGAGTCTGACAAATACATTGTAAGGTGCTTTGATATCTTTCAAACTTCAGGCATCAGTAGAACTACAATCTATTTTATCCATTATCAGGAACACACACTTTATAAGCATTAATCAGTTTTGGAGAACAGCTGTTTCCAGACGGCAATGGCTTGGAATAATTTTACATTTCCACTCTGTCTTAAAATTGTCACATTGAACATAGACTTATCTCTGAAACATTTTAAATATCAGCAATAAATTGTTAGCTTATGGCTTTTCTGTCTTCCCCATATCTTTGTGAAGTATTGATTTCTCCAGCTAGGGAGCAGACAGGCAGTGTAACATTCCAGTAGTGATATTTCTTCACATTAAGCTTTATTCCAACAGCTAGAAACCTAGTTTGACCCTAGCTAAATTAGATGAAGGGACTAAAACAAGCAGGAGTTTTAATAAAGAAACATTGCATCAGGTGCATAAACTTTCTGGAAGAGCTAAAGTTTGCAAACAGAGTCATGGATTTTGGCAAAGCACTGGCATGCTTTGATGGGGTCACCAAAGGTGTAAAGTGACCGCAAGACATTGTATTTGATTATCTCTTAGATTTACGGTGGATTTGCTCGCTTGGAAAAAATTTTTAGAATGATTGGCATACACAATTTGTGTAAGCTAACGGTGTTGGGATTTTACATACAGTTCTATTTATATACAGACCAAGAGGAGTTTGCTTCTGGATCTAAGCTCCTGCGTAGGCAGGGGGTGTGAGTCTCCATTTGCTGCTTGCACGTTCATTTGGACACATCCACACAGCAAATGCAAACTGATCCCACAGCAGAAGGGCAGCATTTTACTCCCACTTTAGACTGCCAGAGACGCAGTCAACAGCCACGTTTCAAAAACGAAATCGCTCTATGGAGAAATGGAACAGAATATGATTTATTAGCAGCCTGTCTGTAATGGACACAAGACTGAGTACCTTTATTCTAATAATAGCCTATCCAAGTGACAAAAAGGCTATAGTGGAAAGTTAGCTGAAGGCCCTTGGTGCTTCAAGCAAAACGTCCTAGGGTCTGAGTATTTGCTCTTCATTGCTTTGCTTACCCTCATCTTTCAGTTCTGCTATGTCGTGTTTAGGCCACATATGTGTATGCCCATAAATTCCCTGAGGCTTGCATCAAAAGCAAGGAGAAAAAAGAAAAGTATACACGTAAAGGTTTGGAAGGGACTAGCCCCAGGGTCTCCTGGGATATATAAAGTGAAAAAAGGATTGAACTAAAGCTGCACCTAAAGGAGCAGACAGAGCATAACTCAGCAGAAACTGAGGAACAATGATAAATGGCTGAACAAGAACACCTCCTGCTTTAAAGGTAGGGGTTACTTAATAAAAAATGGCAGGAAAAGAGGAGGACCCTGCCTCTTTTTTTTTGTTTGTTCATTTTTAAAATTAGTTATTTTTTAATGTTAAAGGAAGTGATCTAACAAGGATGGAAAAAAACGTAGGAGGGAAAAGGAAGACAGGCTGATAATGCGGAAGCAGAAGAGAATCAAAAAACAAAGCCTCTTGCCAGTATACTGGACACGGTGTTGGAGGGAAAGACATCATGGGATTTGTAGGCAAATTTGTTGGTTTCCCTTCACTGCCTGTTGCTCTCCAGCTGGGGCACCTAGGTGCTGGGTAACTGTCATCCCTGTAGATAGAGAGCTACATAAGTTTAAAAATATATGTATAAAAATTAAATATATTCCAGCTAAATTTGAAGGAGGTTAAGAAAAGGCATAGGTAGCATGTACCATAGGTTCAAAATATTCTGGGGGCATCTTTTGCTTTAAGAGTGGTTTGCAAGGCATGTTTTTAGTTACTGACTATCTCAAGAGCTGAAACAGAGATAGAAACATGGGAAAATAAGCTGAAAAAACAGCCATCTCTACAACAAAGAGCAAGATAGAAACTCCTAAAAATGACTGTTTCCAATGCCTCCTTCTCCAGACGTGTTGACCTTCTCCCATAATTAACCAAGTG